TTTATTTAGAACGACTATTCTCCAGAAACACTCCGAAAACGAAAAGAACTTTGGCGGACCGCTAAAACCGATAAAAATCACGGTATGAAGGTTTCTCTGGTAAACGATAAACTTCGCATTAACGATACGTACTACGTATGGGACGACGCTTCTAACACACGTATTCCAGTACAGGCGGCGAGTGGGAATGACACTCCTAATAAAGACAACTCAGTAGAAGTGATGAGCATGGACGACGCTTTTAATGAACACATCCCAGTGCAGGCGGGGAGTAGCACACAGTCTACCACCTAGCAGTTACAGTCCCCGTCGCATCAGTTACGTGTGCTTTCCTTGAATGCCAGAAGCATTGTAAATAAAACTGATAGTCTTGAACTGTTGCTTCTTTCATATGACCCCCATTTAGTTGTTTTAACAGAAACTTGGCTCCACGAGGGAATCCGTGACGATGAAATAATTCCACCGGGTTATCAACTACTTAGGCGTGATCGTGGTTCGCGCGGTGGAGGCGTAGCAGTTATCGCAAAGTCCCATATCAATGTAACCTTACTTGATCAGATTGACGACCATGAAAGTTTGTTTTTGAATATATCACTGTGGGGTTTCACTGTTTTACTTTGTGCTGTTTATAGGCCCCCAAATGCGACCGACTTGTTCCTTGATAACTTATACGATCATCTTCTAGCCCAGCATGCACAGAATGTTATTGTAACAGGCGATTTTAATTTGTCCGCTATTGATTGGAATCAACTGGCCTATGGAATGTCCAATTGCAGTGATAGAATCTTAGACATTATGCTGGCTTTAAACCTTGATCAAATTGTTTGTGAGCACACTCGTGAAAATGCTCTTTTGGATCTTTTTTTTGTTAGTCAAATGTTTCTCACTGGAGTGCTTAGTGTTGAACCTGGTATCTCTGATCATCGTTTGTTGTCTTTTTGTTGGACTGCTAGACATGTGGGAGGTACGCGGAATCGTTCTGTTGTGAATGTTAAAGACTATGAACGAGCTAACGATATCGACATAATCGATTACGTTGATGATAAGTTAAATATTAACTCCGAGCAAAGCGTTTCGGGCTTGTGGAAACATTTTAAGGAAGCTATAAAGTTTTCCGTCGAACACTTTGTCCCTTCGAGGAAAGTACGAAATAAACGTCAAAACCCCCGGATTAACCGAGAAATTATTCAGATTAAGCGTAAATTAAAGCGTCGTAGAAGACAACATAACACTGCATCAGAGTACTTTGAGGAACTTAAAAAACAACTTGTGGCTATGGTAAATTTAGCAAAAACACGTTATTTTAGTATTACGCTTCCTGAGTTCATTAAAAGCGACCCACAGAAATTTTGGCGTTATCTGGGATCAAATAAACAAGTGTTAACAAAAATTAAAGTGGATGGGAACCTTGTGGCCGAGGGTAAGGAAATAGCGACAATTTTTAACCAATATTTTCAAAGTGTATTTATTTCAAAAGATGACAACGGGACACCAGCCCCTCCTATAAATTCTCTCGAGGTTCCTGTAATTTCAGTCGAAGGTGTCTTGTCAATGTTGCGTAAACTGAAAGTAAAATAGAGTTCTGGTCCAGACGGTCTACCCAATGCCTTTTCAAAACGTTATGCACTGCAATTAGCTGAATTTTTGACCAAGATTTTTCAAGTTTCCTTACTTACCGGAGTAGTGCCAGATGACTGGAATAGAGCTCGGGTTGTACCGATTCACAAGAAAGGGGATAAGTTATTGGTGTCTAATTATAGGCCGATTTCAATTACTTGTAGTTGCTGCAAGTTATTGGAACACGTCGTGGCCGGTTATATTAAAAGCTTCTTATCTGAAAAGGGTATCTTATCGCCTAAGCAGCATGGATTTAGAAAGGGAATGTCCACCGCCACGCAACTCGTTACGTCTGTTCATGAATTTCTCGCGATACTCGATGATTCAGGGCAATGCGATGTTCTTTTTTTAGACTTTTGTAAGGCGTTCGATAAGGTGCCGCATGCAAAACTGCTTTATAAACTCGAACGCATAGGACTTCCCTCTTACATTATTCTTTGGATAAGCGCCTACTTAAGAAATAGATCCCAATTCGTCGATGTTAACGGCCATGTTTCAAACGTTCTATATGTCACTTCCGGCGTGCCCCAAGGAAGTGTGTTGGGACCATTACTATTTCTTGTTTATATAAATGATCTAACCGAAGTGGTTGCTTCGTCTGTTTCCATGAGATTGTTTGCGGATGTCTGTATTGTTTTTAAAGACATCAACACTGCTGACGACCATCTTGCGCTTCAAGAATCTATTATCGAGATAGAGCACTGGTGTGAAGCTTGGGATATGGATTTGAATATTGAAAAACTGTGCTTCTAAAAATTACACGAAAAAAACATATAAGCTCATTTGAGTATCAGCTTCACAACATTGCCATTCCTGAGGTCACTAGCTATAAATATCTAGGTGTTACCATTACTAATCGTTTAATTTGGTCTACACACATCTCAAATACTTGCTCTAAAGCTTTCGCTAAACTGTGTTTTCTAAGGCGAAAGCTCAAACACGTTCCCAGTAGTGTTAAGCTCCTCGCATACAATACGCTCATCAGGTCAAAACTCGAATATGCATCAGTCATTTGGGATCCCCACAATAAAAAAGATATCCACCAGCTTGAACTTGTACAAAGAAAGGCAGTTATGTTTATATTCAGTAAATACAATAGATTGGACTCGCCCACGGAACTTATGAGGGATAACCAAATACCACCTCTCGATACACGTCGGAAAATGACTCGTATTTTATTTCTTTACAACATCCTCACATCCAGAGTAAGCCTAAATACACTCCCATATCTCAATCAACTAACTTCAAGAAAAACACGACACACTAGGGATCACGCACTACAGCCCATCTTCGCAAAAACAAATGCCTTTAAGCACAGTTTTTTTTCCGCGCACTATTTCGGACTGGAACTTGCTACCAGAAACCATTATTCAGTCAGCCAATTTCATTCAGGAATTAGAACGGTACCTAATTCGATAATGCATTCCGCAGTAGTGGTCTTGTCTTCTTTTGTATTATTGTTTTTGTCATTTTTTCATGCGCACCCATATGTTGCATTTTTTGCCCCTCCTGCTTGGGCCAGAGAACTGGCCTGCAGTATCGTAAAATAAATAAATAAAATAAATAAAAATAAATAAATAAAACTCATCCAAAGAAGGGCAGTGGACAGACGTGTTGTGATTGACGGTTTCTCAACTCGGTTGGGTAACCCAGCGCAGCGCAGGACGCCACGAAGATTGCCGTCGGAATAGCAGCAGACGACGGAGCGGCGGCCCTCGCCGTCCCCGTAATGCCTCACGCGCGCCGCTTGAGGGCGCGCGCTACTTTTCGGAAAGGTTCAGTCGGCGAGAAATTGAGGGAAAGGAGAAGACTAAAGCACGCAAGGATCTCAGAACACCGAGCTCTGGTTGGAATGATTAGCGGGTAGGCGCAACGGTAGCTAAGCTTTTCGTCTTTCTGCTAATCCTCGAAACCAGCTCTCGGCGTTCTTACTTCCCCACGCAGTCTCGTCTCCTCCTCTCTGTCACTTTATACCCGTACAGCAGAACGTTAGTCATCCAGGAAGTTCCTCGTCACAGCGAACACTAAAGCCGAGTCACACCCGTCTCTCACACCACACAAAATACGCGGAGTTCTCTGCCGACATTTCTGACGGAATATCTGCGGGCATGACTCAAACTTGTTCGATGAATGTTTGCCTCATTCATATGTAAGGGTCGTACAGGTCTGCAGGCCGTTTTGGTACGACCAATGCGACATACAAGACATACACGCTCCTCAGAGGGTGTCTGCAGGCTGTCGTTTATATAATGTATTAGCGACATGACCGTGGCTTTTGGAAACCAGATCATTGCAAAGACAGAAATGGCGCTTCGGATAAAGTCGATTCTAAGAAGCCCAGAAAAGCGCTATCTTGCCCACTTCTACTCGTTATTGTCCTTAGAGCTATACTAGTCTGCTATGTTTACCGAACTATCCCACCAGTTCATTTTGATGAAAAACCCTGAATCTATCCGCTTCCTGCAAGAAACATACGTATTCCAGATGCTTTGGGTATGACTGAAAATTAGCTCGTCGCATCTAATTGCAATGTTGTAAGAAGCTATATAGGTTCCATCACCGTGCACTTTAAATAACTTTATGACATTTTTTACACTGACTCATATATTCAGCTGCTGTTTAAAGGAGCGATGCAACAATTTTTGTACTTTGCGCAAATACCGCTTGAAACGGATCCCTAACGTTAATGACCTATAAAACACGCGTTCGTTTTTCACCCCACGCAATAGTAGTCCCAGAAAAAAATTAAAGAAAAACGAGCAGCGTTCACCCCCTCAACTCGCAGCCAGAACAAGCGGCCACGTGATCTGGAGCCGATTATATGCCGCCAGTGTTGATCACAGCCACGCGCTGGGGTCGGCAAAGCGCAGGACACGCGCTGAGTTCCAGACATTGTTATGTCTCGGCTGTTGTCGTCGTTGCAGCGATTGGACACGGGTCACTACCCGAATGCTTCTCGAGCTAGCAATTGTCACGAGCCCAAGTCGAGTGCCCAGGCAATGCTCGGGTCCAATCTATGAACCGCATTCAAATATCGTCACTTGGGTGTACTGCGATCCCCGAGTTACGTCATCAAATTTTGCAAAAGAGAGATTGAATGAAAATGATCGCTTTTGTCCTTGAAATTACACCGCAACAAAGGAGTTTCTTGGCCAATGGCGTGGCGTGTGAGTATCCTTGAGTCCCAGGTGTGCCAGTAAGCTCGTGTAGAGAGAAAAACATTCCAATTGAATATCGTTGCACCTTTAAGCTTTCTCCAGGGGTACCAGCAGGGTTAAACCATAAGTATTTTATTTGTTTATCGCAGTGACCGGAGAAGATATATACTGCCGAGAACATGAAAAGTGCTCTTGTAACATTCGAACCAAAGAACCAGCTAGTGGCCCCGGAAGTACGGGCACGCTGCGATAACTTAGATGTCTTCCCAGTGAGACATAATGTCATATTTCCGGATATTCTCGTCGATCTTAGCTCGCATCTTCTGAATCCCATCTTCTGAGAAGTACTTTCTCCAACCTCCCACACCGCCCTGCCGAACAATGTTAATGGTGGTCGAATCGTAGCCCTTGTCTTCACCCGATTCCTCTAGAGGTGGCGCCTGCAGCGATGCTTTCATAAGCACTTCACGCATCTCCTTGGGGGTGGTCTTCATGAGATCCTTCATGAAGACGGTCGAGCTCTTCTCTAGAATAGATTGAAGAATGTCGCCGCGATTCTTAAGCATCTCTTCGTAGTCTTCACCCAAGAACCGAGCCAGCTTCAAGATTGAGCCTTTCTTGTCCCTCTGGAGTTCCTCGTACGTCACAAAGAAGACGTTGCGCTCCTTCCTTCGCCTGTAGCCGGACAGGACGTGGTCGAAAAAGTCCCCGAAACTGGAGTTCCCTTCCAGGAACGCGTCGAGAAACTCGTCGAAGGTACCGTCCTGGAACTTGCACACCGGTATCTCACGGACATAGTGGTAGCAAGAGACGCAGCAGTCCAACGGATTGCGCGCCACGTACAGGTACTTGGCCTTCGGGTCTACTTTAATTCGGTCCATTGAGAAGTGCGTCCGCAGGAGCCTCGGAGACTCCATCCCGTCGGGCACCCTGTTCTCAAGGTAGGGTGCCTTCTTCGCGAAATCCACGTACGACTCCGCCGACTCCCCGCTGTTCAAGATGAGCTGCAAAATCTGTTGGATCCAGTGGGAGCCTGACCTCGGGAAAGACACCTGCACAAAAGGAGGAGAATGTCACTAAGATGGACACTAGGCGAGCAGCTCGTAGATGACAACGCTGGGGGGTGAGATCTTAATGTTCCCATAGTGGAGGCCAGAGCGGGGCACAAATAGACCAGGGATAAAAAAATCACTTCCAAAAAAGCAATTAAATTACATTACTAATCACTGTCTTGAAAACTGCAAAAATGTAAGTAAATTACATTACAAATTACCGGAGACGAATATTAATGTGACATTACATTACAATTACTTTTTAAAAGTAATGAAATTACTTTGACATGAGTTTTCAATATCTTGAGGCATAATTCGTGCCCATTTTGATTACAGTATATGTACCAAAACTTAGATCTTTCTGTGTACGCCGCAGCAAACTTATGCGCCTGAAATTGAACCAAACTGAACAGTCGTTTTGACGGCGCACACGACATAAGCGTTAAACATAGTGCCACTAAATGAGCTGCGCTGAGAGTATTGGCACTCCGCTCCCCGACATTGTTGTGGGCGCCGCCATTTTGGTGCTTGTGCAGAGCAGACACAACTGCGGATTGCCATGATTCAAAAGTGCGACTTCCTCAGTATTAGATTTGGTTTTAGGAAGCTCATGTAATATTGCTCTGCTTTGTCGCGAAGTGTTTAATCATTCGTGGAGGACCGAAAAGCGTTTCCTTTGATTTCAGATAAAGCTTGAGATAACTGGCAACCAGGATTTTAAGCCCCAATATGGCCAAATTTCGTTACTCTGAAACGTAGGTTATTTTTTTGCAGTAGTTAAACATGATGAATAGCTTCTTCTCTATATGTGACTCAAAGACCGTCGACTCACCGGCTTCGCTGTTCGTTCAACGGTGAAGGCCCTTAGTTAAAGGGTGATATGTCTCCGTCTGTTACGGCACTCGAAACACGGTAACGGTTTGCAAAAAGTCCGTAATACATTAGAGGGAAAGGCCACATGCATTGGGGCCGCTTGGGAACGGGCCGGGAGCCATAGACGCGGACATCCAGTTGGCGGTCACGATGAGCTCCTATCGCTGGCGACGGACAAAGATGCATAAAGGTGCAGCAAAATATCGCCTATTAGCGCTGTACCCTTGTTCCTTTGTAGCAGAAAAACACCGAAATCGCGAATTGTATGAAACTAACTAAAGCTGACAAGCTGGTTGCGGCAAAACCAACGCGCCTAATCTTTCGGCTGCTTTCTTTCTCCGCTCTTAATCTCTCGGCCTCTTTCTCGTTCTTTTTCTCGGGATCGCCGATGTCAGCGCCCATGATTTGCCGCGGTCTGCCTCTTCTGTGGGCAGGGCAGGATCACAGTATGTGGTGCCCACAGCTACTACGCCAAATACCAAAAAAACAGGACCAGAAATGCAAAACGCACGAGAGCGGCTCAATCACGTCGTTCACGTTGTTCGACTTTTCTGTTTTGTATAGGAAAGCGGCACACACATCTGGTAGTAGCTGGCAACCGGCGATAGGGCAAGCGTTATCAGTAACAGGAGGCTGTGCCTGAACGATGTTTGCACTTCACGAGCGCACGTGCCCGGCATGGACACCGCAAGCCCTGACCTCGCCCTCGTATCTGGTACTACGTAGTGCCACTAAATAAGCTACGCTTCAGAGTAACGACACTTGCCCATCTTGTGGCTTAAAATTATGGTGGCCAGTTATCTGAAGCTTTATCTGAAATCACAAGAAACGGTTTTCGGTTCTCCTGAAAAGTTTAAACAGTTCGGGACAGAGCAAAGCTATATTGCCTGAGCTTTTTAACACCCAAACTAATGCTGAGGAAATCGCACTTATGAGTTATGACGATCGGCAGTTGCGTCTGCTCTGCACAAGCACCAAGATGGCGGTGCCCACAACAATATAGGGGACAGAGTGCCGATATATTAAGCGTACCTCATTTAGTGGCTCCAGTACTGCATAGAGCCTCTGTATATTGCAGCTTTAGCTGAGCTGCCATAAACGGAGTATAGCAGACGCCAATCATAACAGAGACGCCCGGTGATTCTTATCTTATCGGCGAATGCAACCTAGCATTCTCATCTACAGTTGGTCAACTTGGTTTTCGGCAGCCCTGTTGCCCGACAAGCCTGTCACACTGCGGGAACATCAGCACAACGCAGGCGACAGCAACATTGCTGCCTCGGTGTGACAGCTTTCGGCAACAAAAACAGCAGCAACTTGAGTTGCCCAACTGTTTCCTCAGTATGGCTGTGCCTTTAGGGTTTCCATTCGTGACGTCGTGCCCAGAACTTGCTTCGCCGTGATGCCGCAAGTTGTGATTCTGGCCACTTATCAGTTTCGAACGACAAGTTCGTTTGTGCGTAAAAACCACACTGAAAGCTTGGACTCGTAGCGTTCTTAAGCCAGCCACGTTAACGCTGATAGTCTGATATTGATCTCCTTTTCGTCGATGATTTCAAAACTAAGCACACTAAAGACGTGAGCATTTTGCGAATCGGGGCAAGCTGTGGAGGACCGACTGCAGCCACACTTTTGCTCGGACACATCGCCAGTTCGCAACTTTCACGACTTATGGGGAACACACTGAAACCTATCAAAATGACTGTCACCGTACGAGGTTCGGCCGACGACGATGCGGAAGTTATCCTAATTTTGTTAAAGGCGATCAATTTTAGAGCTTTACATCGTCATTTCACGCCAAGGAGGTGTAAGCAAGCTCTCTCGTTGTGAATTCGAGTCAGCCGGGAACGAGGTTCTCACACTGTGGTACTACCGTCGCTGAAATTCGCAAATGAAGTCTGTCCCACCTGGATGATGTCGCCTTCTCGAGGTTCGAACGAGGGGACTTGTCGGTACAGCACGGGGTCGTAGCACATGAAGCACGCCTCGCCGTCGATGTCCTGGGTGACCGGGACGCGCTTCTCTGCACTCATGGCGCCTCACGAAGCCGCGATGTCCTTGACTTGGCGGATTGTGCTGCGGGCGAACAAAGGGTGAGGGAGGCGGGATCGGTCAACCAGTTTCCATTGAAAGTGTAAAGGTTTCACTCAATACACCCTATTAGAATCGGAGAGTGAACTTAAAGACAGAAGGACAGTTCGCGCTTTCCACTTCTCTCCCGCTTCGCCCTCTCCCTCATTCTACCCTGTCCGCCGTTGCCTCTTTCCTCCTTCCCATGGTGAGGAGAATCTTCTGCCTTGCGGAATCTCGAGTCTGGTCGTCGGCATTTAAGTCTTTAGCTTTCGGTGTCCTAAACGGCCGGCGAATTAGTGTTAATAAAACTGCATAAACTGTGCATATGCTACAGGCGTTGTTGCCTGCAGCGCACGTAGTAGTAGTCTCCACTGCCAGCCTTAAAATTGCAGCCTTCGGCGCCAGGATGCACTACAGCCTACGTTGGTTTGCTGGCTTATTTCCGCCCACGTGCAGTTGCTGTTTTCAATTACTGTGGACGTTTTCGTTTGGATTGAAGCAGTGAGGCATATTCATTTTTTTAAAATTTTCATACTATTTATGTATGCTACAGCGTATAATTGTTTTTTATATGGATGTTTTGTTATATGTTTTGTTTTAATGAAATAATATCCCAAAAGAACGGGAAAGGTTTAAAGGGGCACTGACACCTGTAACATCGTAATTGCTTTTTGTCTAAAAGGATGTAAATTGCAGTTATAGACACAAAAAAATACAACGCCAAAAAAAAAATAGTATATATCCCCACGCGCGCGCGCGCTTTTTTATTTTGGGCGTTTTCCTGTCCCGCTCCTCACCTCCTCGCTTCTTTCTATTGCTGAAGTAATCTATTATGCAATTTAGAAGCTTTGTAAGCAACATTTTCAAAAAAATTATTAACGGCATTCGTAAAACATTTTTTTTAACGCTATTGCGAACGCACTTCGGCCCTTCTTTTTGAAATACCGAAAATCGGAGTCAGGAGTGATGCCGCCTCCTGGTTTTTTTATCCTCCCCCAAAAAACATAAAAGTTCAGTAAAAAACAAACAAAAATTGGAGTGTGTGTGTGTGTGTACGTTTATACAGCCTAGGATTTAGTCTGCCTCACAGGGGCGACGAGTCTCCCACCTGTACATGAGAAATTCAGCCAGTGCAGTACAACCGCTAGCCTGGGGTTTTTAACGTGCACTGCGCAGTAGTGATACACAACCGCACGTCGGTACGATGCTCATTCAGATCGTAACGGGCAGGGGTGGGGATTGAACCCAGGATACCTGGGTTCTGCAGCGCGAGTTTTCGCTCCACGTGCTCTGAGCTGGTGTGCGCTAGCCTGACGCTAAACACTCGGCCAACAATCCCCCTCGTGCTCGACACGCGTAGCACTGATACAGTGAACTTGAAATGATCTAGTGGTGCGAACTACATGCTCCACTCATGCTTATAGCATGAGCGGAGCATGTACCACTTGCTTGAGTTGGCGATGGTGGAAGAGGATTTCGCCTCTTCTTTGCTTAAATTTCGAGGAAAGGAATTTAATTTTTGCCACCCTGACAACCCCGCATTGCTGTGGCAAATAAGGTTTCACCGCTCAGGGTACATTTCTGGTACATTAGTTCTTTCTATGCAACGAGTCTAATTTAGAGCCAGCGAATGGAACAAAAGATTAATGAAATGTTTTTAACACAGAATTTGCTTTATCAGCCGATTTCTATGAAATATGCCACGCTCGACCGTTATCCTCAGGCGCTACGCTCGATCGATAGTCAAGCTCATATGGGAAATATAGCCCCTAAGGAGGTATATGTTTTTTTTTATGATGTTTACGTCAGAGGTCACATCATAACACAACGTCACGACGACGTGACGTTACAACGACGCCCCGACGTCATCGTCCACCATGACATTACACGACGCCAAGATGCTGAAGAGGGCTGTGATAGGCGATCCACCACGAAGAGAAGGAAGAAAAGAGATGCGCGAGGGATGGCGCGGTTTTTGAGACAGGGCTCGGGAAGGGCACGAGCACAGCTCGGACTCGGAAGGCGAAGCTGCGAACAGCTGTTCGGACCTCGGTAGACGTGACCAGGCGTCAGAGGCCCTGTCCCCGCCTCCTCTCGTGGTCAAGGCGCCGGCCTGCCTGAGGCCGACTGGACTACCTGAGGCGCTGAAGACAACTCCAGCAACCGGGTTCACCAAACATCTCCGGGAACGAGACGCTCCAGGCTAACAACAACTGCCGCCGAGCCCATCAACCACGAGCCCTCCTGCTTCGGCACTACCCCTCTATGTGACCAGGAAAGAAAACTGTGAGACAACACGAACAATGACATTCTGTAAATAGCCGCGGTGTTAATATTTTGTTTTTCTATTCTTCTGATGTCTATGTCACAATAGTGAAATATTTCCTAACGCATCCTGTGTCTTCCGTAATTCTATTAAGACCCCCTAAACACACGAACCACGCACTATCACAATTGGCGTCCGCGATAGGACGGAGGACACATTGGATCGTTCGGAAATAATCATTAAGCTATGGATCTCAAAGAAATTATAGAGCTCGGCAAGCAGCTAGGCCTACAAGGTGTTGAACTTAAAGAATTCGCGGACGAGAAAGTCGCTCACGAACGCGAAGAGAAGGCGCGTGAGAGGGAGGAAAGGACTGCGGATAGAGTAGCAAACCGAGAGAAGGTTGAAGTGGAAGAACGAACATTACAGTTACGCATAAGGCTAGCTGAGACGGGAGTGACCACTACTGCCGAGATCACAACAGAGGGCAGCAATTACGGAAGAACAAACTCCAGTAACCTCTGTCCCCCGAAATGTATTCTTCTATACGATGAAAGGCGAGACGATTTAGACGCCTACTTGAAGCGTTTTGAATGCATTGCTAAGGGGGAAGACTGGCCAGAACCTAAATGGGCTACCGCTCTAAGCATGTGCCTGACGGGAGAGGCGTTGAAAGTCTACGACAGGCTATCACCTCGGGATTCTATGAGTTATGAAGCGACCAAGCGAGCTCTCCTGGATAGATTCCGTTTTACAACTGAGGGGTATCGAGAGAAGTTCAGGAAATCGAAACCCGAAAAAGGGGAGACAGCCAGCCAGTACACTGCCCGGCTGCAAGGATACTTCGATAGGTAAATGGAGGTGGGGGAGACACCTTCAACATACGAAGCGCTGGGAGATAAGATCCTGCCAGAACAGTTCCTATCTCAGTGTCACACAAAACTTACTATATTTTTGAAAGAGAGAAACTGCCAGACGCTAGCATCAATGGTTGAGGCCGCCGATCGATTTCTTGAGGCGCAACAACAAAAGAACCTCTCCTCCTTTAGAGACGATGCAAGAGCCGCGTCAACCCATAGACCTAACCTCGATGCGCCGGCGTTTGCGAAACCTAAATGTTTCCTGTGTGGCAAGCTCGGTCACAAAGCACGAGAGTGCAGAAGTTGTTTCCGGTAAAAAATTCCATCCTGTTCGTTTTGCCAAAGAGAAGGGCATGATGCAAAAGAATGCCCCAAGAAACAAAAATATCCACGAATTCTGTGTATGGTGGAGCCAGAATCAGTAGAAAGCACACAAACTCCACTTCGAAACTTTGTAGAGGGATCAGGTCTTGGATCCACAAAGGATTGCGAGGCAGGGCTATGTTAACGTGGTTCACGAAAACGACGAGGTATTCGTCGTACATAACATGCCCGGCTTACGGGGGTTGCTTAATCAACAACCAGTCAGCGTGCTACGTGACACGGGTAGCAATACAGTGATAGTTCGATGCGACTTGGTAAAAGATTGTTGTCTCACAGGAAAGACAGGAAAGGTTTTTCTCGTAGGTGGCACATCCTTGCAGCTGCCGGAGGCAAAAACAATGCTGCGTTCTCCATACTTTGTTGAGGAATTGATCGTGAAGTGCATGGACACCTCTCTATGATGTGATTGTAGGGAATATTCAGGGTGCACGAGGAGTCGATGAGTCGGAATCCGAATGGAAAAACAAAACCGTCCAGCATGCCTCACAAGAACCTGAAAAGAAAGATGCCTCGATAGACACTGCAGCAACGACTGACGTGTCAGCTGCAAATAAACTGAAGCCCTCGAACAAAAAGGGCACATCTAAGGAAATGAAAAAGGAGGAGGTCACCACCGAAGTCCTAAAGGAATAGCAGCGATGCGATCGCACGTTGGAGAGTTGTCGGAACAAAATCGGAGAGATACACCACGCCAAGGATGGATCAACAAACAGCTTTTATTTCTGGAAAGGAGTACTATGTCGACGTTATGAACAGAAAGGAGGTAAGGTGCTGAAGCAAGCAGTCGTCCCAGCCGCCTTGAGAACGTACCTCATGGAGGTAGCACACGACAGCGTAATGGCTGGCCACCTGGGAATGAAGCGTACCACTGACAGGGTACTAGGGGCCTTCTGTTGGCCAGGGAGTGCAGGCCGACATTAAAATATACGTGAAATCATGTGATAGTCAGAGGGCCACTCCTAAGGGAACGGTCAAGAGGGCGCCCCTCGGCCGAATGTCAGTCATTAATACTCCATTTGAAAGGGTGGCTATTGACCTGATAGGTCCGCTTCCTACGAGCTCCGAAAATAAGAACCGCTACATTCTAACTATGGTAGATTTCGCGACGAGATACCCTGATGCGGTAGCGCTACCATCCTGTGACTCTCACACAGTGGCGGAAGGCCTATTGAAGATCTTTTCGCGCGTGGGCCTCCCCGGACAGATTTTGTCTGATCGTGGGACAAGCTTCACATTGGGGCTCATGCGGGAGCTCACTCGAATGATGTCCGTCCAACAGCTGCTGACGACTTAGTACCACCCCATTTGTAACGGTTTAGTGGAGAGGTACAACGGTACTTTGAAGCAAATGTTGCGCAATATGTGCCAGGAGAAGCCTCGATCATGGGATAAGTATCTCGCCCCACTCCTGTTTGCTTATCGAGAAATCCCCCAAGCGAGCCTAGGTTTCTCTCCATTTGAATTGATCTATGGGAGGCATGTTCGGGGACCATTGCCGATATTAAAAGAGATCTGGACGGATGAGGAGTTAGGACGAGATCTTAAAACAACATACTCGTGTGTTTTGGACCTGCGGGATCGCCTTGAAGAAACCACAGGACTGGCACATCAGAGCTTGGCAGCCGCCAGCAAATACCAGAAGAAGATGAACGACAAAAAGGCAGGAAGACGACTTTTAAAAGTAGGAGATAGTGCACTGCTATTGGTACCGGCCAAGAAGAACAAGCTGCTCGTGCACTGGAAGGGTCCCTACAAAGTAGTAGGGGAAATAAACGAAGTCGACTACGCCATAGATTTAGGGCATACAACGAAGGTATTTCATATTAATATGTTAAAAAAGTATGCGGAGCGAGAGAGGGATACCGAGGTTAAGAATCAGGCGTGCTTAATAATAGCTATCGGGGAGGGGGAAGCGGAGCAGGGCATACCGTGTATAAACGTCAGGCCTGCCCAGGGAATGGATGATGTGCTGGTGGCCGAAGACCTCAGCGAGAGAAAGAAAATGGACGTCAAGAGCGTTCTACAAACATTTGAAGCGATATTTACCGAGGTGCCTGGACGAACAGAACTGTTGGAACGCAAGCTTGAGTTGACGACAATCGATTCTATCCAGACTCCACAATGCCCAATCCCCTTCGCAACGAGGGAGGCGATAGAAGAGGCAGTGGCACAAATGTTGGCGCTACAAGTGATTGAGCAATCAACGTCACCATATTGTTCTCCTCTAGTCCTAGTGAAGAAGCAAGATAAGTCACATCGCATCTGCACTGACTTCCGACATCTAAACGACGTATTCATTCCGGATGCCGAGCCCATCCCGCGGATAGAGGACGTATTCGCGGAAGTTGGGAAAAAGAAATATTTCTCGAAGCTAGACTTGTCAAAAGGGTACTGGCAGATTCCGCTTACCAGCGACTCTAAAGAAAAAACAGCATTTTCTACCGAGAGCGGTTTGTATCACTTCAAATGCATGCCTTTTGGGATTAAGACTGCATCTGCCGTCTTTACGCGACTAACGAGGAAGGTTCTCACAGGTATCAAAGGGGTACAACATTACATCGACGATATTCTAATCGCCACTGACACTTGGGATGAACATCTCAAAGTGCTCGAACAAGTTCTTCGGCGAATTAGCGAAGCAGGACTCGCTGTTAAACCGACCAAATGCCAACTGGGAATGAGTGAGATCATGTTTCTAGGTCACAAATTGGGGCATGGGGAGCTAGCTCCGCTACCGGAGACCCTACAAATTATAGTAGGCTCTAAGCGACCTGCAACAAAGAAACAAGTGAGATCCCTTTTAGGACTGACGGGTTATTATCGGCAGTTTGTTCCGAATTATGCGGAGAGAGCTCCTCCTTTAGTTGAGCTCACGAAGAGAAGGGAACCCAACAAGGTGAGCTGGACTAGTAGGCACGAAGAAGCTTTTCGAGAATTGCAGCGAGCTCTCTCGGTAGGACCGATTCTCCGGGCGCCGGACTTGACGAAAGTGTTTGTGCTTAGGACAGACGCGTCAGATAGCTGTCTTGGTGCGGTGTTGATGCATAAGTACGCGCCGTACCTACATCCAGTTGCGTATGGCAGTAGGGGCTTGATGCCCCGCGAGAAAAATTACCCTACCATTGAGAGAGAGGCCGTAGCGCTAGTTTGGGCAATCCAAAAGTTTCATGTTTACCTAAACGGGCGAGAATTTATAGTCCAAACGGATCATCAGCCGCTGGAACATCTACATAAGATGAAAACAGCAAACAGTAGAATTACGAGATGGAGTTTGCTTCTACAAGAATACCAATTCCGGGTACACTATATAAAGGGAGTAGAGAATGTAGGGGCTGATTATTTGAGCCGGGTGTGACATAAGCTGAGGACCCTTACGGGGCACGTGGTTGTCAATATTTGTATGGTGCGTGTGTTTGAATGAGGGTGTGACATTGCAATTAGGAGCCATTTTGACAAAAAGTGTTTCTGGTGAAGTAATAGGCGATTATAGTTGCATCACTCAAGATTACGAAATGATGTGTATACGCAATAACCAGAATATCTTTGCTGTGGTGTACCGACCACCAAACGGCAACATTGAATCGTTTTTAAAATTTTTCGAGTCTTTTTTGGTTTTTGTTAATGAAGAAAAATGTAATGTAATTTGTGGTGGGGACTTTAATATTGATATGAGCGCGGAAACCGTAGCTAAAAAAAGTTTAGATTCGCTAATCAGGACATATGGTTGTGCAAATGTTATTAATAGACCTACACGTGTTACTCTCCAATCTGAAACATTAATTGATTTGTTTATTTCAAACAGCTCAGTCGATTATATAAAAGCTGGCGTCATTGTTTGCGATCTGAGTGACCACCTCCCAATATTCATTTCTCTCAAAAGTTTCCCGAAAAAAAATTGTAGGACAGAGCGGACATTAGTACAAAAAATAACTTTAGATCGACTCAACGCTTTTCAGACCGCTGTTTCAAATACAAATTGGAGCCGGGTACTGTGTGAGGATAGTGCTGACGGGGCTTATAACACTTTTATAGAGTTATTTCTTGGACTGTATAAGACATATTTTCCTTTCACTTCTATTAAAACAAACAAGCGCATAAAGAAGCCTTGGATAACGAGAGATTTACTCTGTAAAATTAAGATAAAAAACACTTTATATGGTAAATTCATAAAATCCAAGGACCAGAAGGACCTTAAAGTATTTAAAAACTATCGCAACAACCTGACAAAAGAACTAAAGCGCGCCAGAACGCGTTATCATTTTGATTTGTTCAAGGCCACACAAGGACGCACTGACATCATGTGGAAGCAACTAAATTATCTTCTTTATCGTAATCGCCCCTTCAGTTCAATTGAAAAAATTCTGTGCAATGGTACTGAACTTACTGGATGTTCACTGGCAAATGCTTTTAACGAACATTTCGTAAATATTCAGAGTACTACTGAAACCGAAACTCCTTTGGTTTTAAATGATAAACGAAACAGTGATTCGATATTTTTAGATCCCGTCGTCGAACCAGAAATTATAAGCGTGTTTCTTCAGCTTAAAAATAGTTCTAGTTGTGACGTCGATGGCATCCAGATAAGACCGGTAAAACATGTTATTCATCTGTTAGCACCTGTAATAACTCATATATTTAATATCTCTTTATCTACTGGAATTTTTCCTAAGAGAATGCAGATTGCCAAAGTTTCAGTATTGCATAAAAAAGGAAATGTAAATGAAATGGGAAACTACAGGCCAATTTCAATATTACCAGTGTTTTCCAAGGCGCTCGAAAAGGTTATTCATACACGTTTGACTAAATTTTCAAATAAGTATAACTTGATAACTCCATCACAGTATGGATTTATAAAACACAAGTCGACAGAATCTGCCTTACTTGTTTTAAAAGAATTTATTTTACAAAGCTTTGAAAACAAAAATATGGTTCTTGGAGTCTTTATAGATTTCACCAAGGCGTTTGACTGCCTCAATCATAAAATTTTACTATCTAAATTAGATAATTATGGAATTCGAGGGCACGCTTTACAGCTGATAAGATCTTATCTGAAGCATCGAGCACAATATGTTTATATCAATGGGAATTCTTCTACTATAAAACCTATTCCTTCTGGTGTACCACAGGGTAGTATATTGGGCCCCTTCCTCTTTAACATGTACGTGAATGATATAGTCAATATTAATGTAAGCGCAAAATTTGTAAACTATGCTGATGACACGAGCATACTGTTTTCTGCAGATGATCCTGACCTATTATTCGATATGGCTAATCTGGCCCTGTCTAGGTTACAAACGTGGAGTCATAACAACGCATTACAAATAAATGTAAATAAAACCAAAGCCGTGCTTTTTCGTCCTAAAAATAAACTCGTTACCATTACCAAGGAGATAGTTTTGAATTCAACCAAAATCGAGATTGTGAATTGTTTTAAACTCCTAGGTGTCATGTTTTCTGAAAATATGTCGTGGGAAAGTCATATAAACTCTCTTATTCCAAAGCTATCCCAAACTGTGGGCATGTTAAATCGACATCGTTATATTTTACCAACAAGCGTTAAATTATTAATATATAATTCTCTATTTTATTCTCACTTAAATTATTGCCATTTAGTTTGGGGAACAACAACTTTAACAAACCTAGAAAAGTTACATGTATTGCAAAAAAAAGCACTGAGGGCTATAGCTGCCGTCTCGTATGATTTTCACACAACTGGCTTATTTCAAAAATTTCGCGTATTAAACGCGCATGCATTATATGATTACAGGCTTAGCACTAGCCTTAAAGTAGAGCAACTTAAAGACTCAACTTTTTTAACAGATTTTGGAAGAAAAATGTTCATAATTACCCTACCCGAGGTGCTGAATGTTGGGAGGTGGCTACACCAAGAACAAACTATGGAAAACAAATGCTTAAATACACTCTCCCCAATTTACTCAATTCGTATAAGACTAAAAGTATAGATTGGGATAAGTTATCCCTAAGAGAAGTAAAATCATCTTTTTTCTCTAGCAGCTGAAGGTAGTTGCCTTTCTTTTCTTTGTGATCTTTGTAACTAGTTGTTGCATAATTTTATCTCTGCTGTCTTTCCTGCCTCAATGTAAAAAAGGGGAAAAGAAATCTAAAATTTGTTTTAAAATGTCTTTAAAATGTGTGATAGCGACAACTATTGTACAATTTTTTTTCTTTTCTCCTCTTGAATATCGTTTTTTCCGGCTCTGTTGCTGCTTTCTGTAGGCGGTCAGGGACCCGTCAAGCTGTACCTGACAGCTTTTTTCCCTGATCGCCACCATCTTTTGGTGGAAAATAAACATTATTATTATTATAAACAAAGTTTTCTTCGAACTGTGGCGGAACGTGTAAATGGAACTTCGGGATCTACCCATGAGAAGTGTTTTTTTTTTTTCTTTTTGTCCTACAAACGTAGACAAAGACAAAGAAAAAAAAAAACGCTTTGGGGCGGGGGGGGGGGGGGGGGGGGTCAAACAGGCAACGGTGGATAGGGTAGAAAGGGGGAGAGGAGGTAGCGGGGGAAAAGTGGATAGCGCGAACTGGTCGTTTGGCCTTTAACCCGCATACATTTTGCTAGGAGAGCGTTTTCAGATCAGATCGAACAACCATGTCCGGTGACCATTTTTCATTTCGGCGAAAAAAAAATATTTTTCTGGCTTAATGTCTAGAAGAACAAGACCAATCCTTGTTTTATCCAAATAATTTTTGTCTTTGCGAAAAAAATTTGTAAGCACCCTTCACGAGCGCGTTTTGCATATCGCGCGATGGTTGACATTTCGGGCGGCTTCCCCCAAAAAGCTGTTTTGGATACGGGTCTAGAAATATTTTGTGACAAATTAGACATAAGAAGAATTGAGAAAAATTATTAATCACCGAGTATTAGGGTAGTGATTTTGAGAAAAAAATTCTCAAACACGGCACATTGCGCAATAACGCTCTCGATTAAAAAACTTTTTCTCAGTATATATAAAAGCTAAGGTCTTCAAACTTTGCCAGTCTGTTGCCCTATATATCATTAATCTTTGCGTGAATTATAGTTGTCCTCGTTAGCGGGAGGAGTTTACAAGAATTTCTCACACAGGGGCATTTAACTAAAAATGCATTAATTTGAAGATCAATAAAAAAAAGGCCATTTTTAATATTCTTTAAACTCTATGACATTAACGTTTAAATATGTACTAACAGAGTCTGTAAAAGCTTGATGCAATATTTGTGTGACTTTT